CCCCCCCCCCCCCCAAATGACGACACTCCCACACCCTAACAAAAGGTGGAATGGCATTATGGATCTTAGACCATGGCTTCACCAGATTTCTGATGCAATCAGCACTTACAGTCTCTGCTGGAACAAGCCCTGACCATGACTGCAAAGACGCACTCCTGCCACAATAAGAATCAATAGTATGCCCATCTTCTGCAACAATAAATGGGTGAGCTGAGCTTTGTGGGTGCCCAGGGATATTTTGTCAGATCTTTTGGAGCAAACAGGCACTCTGTGGTCCTTGCTCTTAGGGACTGGTGATGTTTGTCGATTTTGCTATATATGACCGGTACACTTTAAGACTGAATCTTTTTTTCATCTAGTGAAAGAACCCATGTGTGATGCTCCGTTACACCATTACAGATTTAAGTGAAGTGCGAATGAATATAAAACAGGATATAAAAACAGAATCCTTGTTAAAATACGGTAGACTTTCCATATGGAGCAAACCACCCTCGTTTATAGTCGATTTTAATATGTTATTTAGGATATGGCGGCACTACCGTCCTTGAGGACTCGCGGCATTCGGTAGAGTTCCACCATGGGAAGCACACCAAGTCCCATTTATCATTAGTGTCTGCTGAAGTGTTATAGATGAAGTCAGGTGGAAAGAATGCGTGCTATGCCGATCAAGGCTCGGAATAAGGGGGAATATGAGTGCGCTCGGGGCCATGCCACCATATTGCAAAAGCAATCATTTCCAAGAGTGCGTCTGTGGCTACAACACTTTATAGCTCTACCTTCTCCAGGAGATTACCACCTTACCTAGTAAACGTGCCATTATTTCATTTCCACGCATTTTTCTTTCACTTGGACACTGCCATTATTTCAGTGTGAGCAAGTGATTTCTTGAATCTGGGAGGTATTTGCTCATATTATAAAGTGTGATTTGCCATGCAGGCAGACAGTGATGTAATCATGGACTACTGTACGCCAGTAAGTGTTATGAATGTTAAAGGAAGACTGTCAAGTTCCCTCAATGAGTGCCTGGTTTGAGCTATAATTGGAAATTATACAGTCACTTTCTAGCACGATTCTCACACATCTATATGCTGTTCCATATCTCACATTTATATTTCCCATACATGTGTGCAGGTGATCCTTCCACTGGTCATCATTGTGCCAGGTAGTGAACTT